GAGTCTGACACTCTTCATCCGGGGCCTGGTATCATGAGGTCTGACTCAGTCCTCACTAGAAAACCCATAATCTCATTGAGTCCCAAGGCTTCCTTGACCAAGAGCTGTGAATCACTGAATTCTACAAGAGAAGCAACCATTCCATTGCATATCTGTTTTTCAGTTCTAATTCCTAAATTTTAAAAATAATGTCTTCTCTGTATTAAAACCACACACATGCAGTCAATCACTAGACAAAATAATGGTACAACTTTATCAATAGCATTTATAGGAGCCATCAAATACTTAGACACTATCTCACTATTCCCAGGAGTTTGGTGCAACAAGATGCTTCTTCCTGTGTTTTGAAATACAGCCTGACATGATGGAACTGAAAACATATTTTTTCAATGCCTGGAAGTGCCTATACTTCAGTACTTTTCTTCAGATAGAAAAGGTGAGAAACAGTAACATGCACCTTGTTTCATAGAATTAATCACTGGTGGTAATCAAATACACCTCAAAATGTCCTTTTGAGGCTGGAAGGGAGGAGGGATGATTCTCTTATTTGGCATAATGGAGAACAAAGCAACCAAGTTATTAGTCAAAAGTCCCAAAGTATGTTAATGACGATATTAAAACAATTTTCTACTTTAGCTGTATTGATCTGCAGACCAGAACTCTTTCCATTTATCCAAAGGACACATATTGATTTATTAATTTTTAATGATTATTAGGACAATTCTACCATCTGGGGATGCAAAGATGAATATGAAAGACCCAGCTCGTAGGAGAGGCAGCAAAGTAAACAAAAGGTTCAAAGGCTCCTTCCGTGAGGGTTTTGTTCCAGATCTCTCAGTCTCTGTGTTAGTGGAAGGTAAGGATAGAGGAGAACTGAGAGTCTAAAAACAGGGTTGACAGCAGGTACCTGGGCTGGCTTGCGTGGCAGTCAGCACTGAGGGCAGCATGGGCCCTGGGGGATGTGGTTAGGAAAAGACCATTTTCCTGATAGAGGGACCTGCTTTTTTTGAGATAGAGTCTTGCTCTGTTGCCCAGGCTAGAGTGTAGTGGTACAATTAGAGCTCACTGCAGCCTTGAACTGCTGGGCTCAAGTAACATTTCCACCTGAACCTCCCAAGTAGCTAGGACTACAGGTCTGTGCTACTATACCTGGCACATTTAATTGTGTGTGCCTCTGTGTGTGTGTGTGTGTGTGTGTGTGTGTGTGTGTGTGTGTGTATGTGAGGGAGGTGGTGGGACAAAGTGTTGCTATGTTGTCCAGGCTGGTCTTGAACTCCTCGTCTCAAGGGGTCCTCCTGCCTTGGCGTCCCTAAGTGGTTTATAGGCATTCACTGGGATTACCCCCTGGGGTTATTCACAGGCGTGTGCCACTGTGTCTAGCCCTGAAGTCAGCCCAGAATAGATGAGAATGAGCTATCTACTGAAGAAACTACCTTGAGAGGTAGTTGTGAGTATAATCCTCGAGAGCAGGACAACTGTAACCAAGGGGACCATAGAACCTTGAAGCTGAAGCTGAAACCAGATGACTTGCATTGCACCTGTCTGAAATCATACAAGGAGACAGGAAGGGAGGGAGCATCCATTCATGTGTCCCAGCCCTGATGCAGGCAAAGGGTGCCCCGAGCCTTTCCCTCATGGGAGCCCTTCATGTGGCCAGCATTCTGACCCATCTCAGGTGTGTTTCCTGTGCTGAAAATGAGCAGGCATCTGCTATATACAAGCTATTAACAGGCTCCAATACCCTTAACCAATGCACTTTGCTTTGATTCCATCCTACCAAACCCCTGAAGTTGGTTTCTCCTATAGATTTTCTTAGGAAAGAGGAGGGGCTGTCTCACAAATATAATCAGTAACCACTTAGTAGTAACGAATCTGTTAATTGACATATTGTCATCCTGGTTAATATATTTTTTTGTGACCCCGATAGGTATGCATCAGATAAGCTTGGAGGAAACCAATAAAATCCATTTCTCAGGCCTGCAAAGTTAAAGACTAGAAATGAGACTTTCCAAGGTGGTTGTAATTTTCTTGGCCACCCTAGTTCCATTACCTGAATGTTGTCTAACATTTAGTTAGGTGCTCAATAAGTGTTACATTTATCACCACAGAAATATTCCTATCTGGTTGCTGGTTCATTTTTATGGGCCATGCATGGTGGCTCACACCTGTAATCCTAGTGACGGCAGCAGTGACCCATCTGGAGCAGCCACTGCAAAGACACCTACTGCAATGTGGGAGGCATGGCCGGGACTGTGGATGTGGAGCCGGTGGACTGGGAACAGAAGGGAAGCAGCAAAGCCTTCTTCTGAGTTGGCAGGGCAGGAGCCCCACCCTCTGTGGCTACAGACAGGGGCATCCCTGTGCTCTCAGGGACCTGGGAAGCCCTCCTTCCCCCACAGGCTCAAAGTGCCTGCTCCGACTGCCTGCCCTCTCCCCACTCCCAGAGACTGCTCTGGGGTGGAGCAAAGTTGTGGCTGAGCCCAGGGACTATTGTGACCTGTCTGGGTGTGTGCACACTCAGGGTGGCACTGACATGCCAGCCCCAGCTGCTTCAGCCCCCTCCAGACTTTGGGCATTGATGAGCATAGAAAGGAGGCTAAGAAGGGGTTGATGGTGGCTCAGCACAGGCCTGCAGGCACCCCTTGGCATGAACAGCCTTGGTGCTTTGGATGACATGTAGAAGGCAGCAGGAAGCAGACAGGCTCTGGGGTGGAAAGGGGTGGGTCCCTAATGAAGACCCACCTTCAAGCCAGAGATGGCCTGAAGCCTGGGGGAGGGATTGTCGGTTCTGGGTGGAGTCCATGGCACAGAATGAGAATTTATGGTGTTTTTTCTGGCTTGCCCATGGCTACTCATGGACCGATCAGCACACTCTTCTTCCCTTCTGAAGCCCATAAAAACCCCAGACTCAGCCAGACTCACAGAGACATTGGGACTGCCAGCTGTTGGAAGGAGCTACCAACTTCAGGTCTCCTGGACTGGTGAGGATGACCTGCCTGTGGAAAGGAGCTACCAACTTCAGGTCTCCTGAGAGCTTTCTGTTGCTCAATGAAGCTCCTCACCACCTTGCTCATCCTCTAGCTGTCTGTGTATCTCATCTTTCCTAGATGCAGGACAAGAACTCAGGATCTGGCAGGACTGAAACATACTCCCTCTTGCCCCCGCCGCCACACCACTGCTGTTCACCATGTTGCAGGCGATGAGAAGGAGAGAAGAGCTGCTGCCCTTTGGGGAGCCTAGACCTAGGGGCTCCCTGAGTGAGCCAGGGTTGTGACACCCTCTTTGGGGCTCTGTGGCTCCTGGCATCTCCAAGCTTCTATGGCCATCATGTTCCCTGGTGCCTGCAGTGGAAGCTGCTTGTGGTATGCCTCATCCAGCTGCAGTTTTGCATGGAACTGGCGCCTGTGCCAGCTCCTGGAGCTGCCCACTTTGCTGTAGCTGACCTGCCTGGATGTGTGCAGTGGCCAGACCCTGTGCTTGCTCACACACCGCTTGCTGTTCTGCACCTGACTTGCCCTTGGCAGGCAGGGGATCCAAGCTGGTAATGTGAGCCAAGCACAGCTTGCAGGGTCAAGTGGTTTAAATGAACCCAGTGGGCCCAAGCAAAACTAGGACAAAGATGCCACCAGTCACAGACATTTCCAGCTGGAAAAGGGACACCCTAAGGGTGCTGTGACACCAGCACTTTGGGAAGCTGAGGCAGGTGGATCACTTGAGGCCAGGAGTTCAAGACCAGCTTGACCAATGTGGTGAAACCCTGTCTACTAAAAATTCACTGGGTGTGGTTGTGTGTGCTTCTAATCCTGGCTACTTGGGAGGCTGAGGCACAAGAACTGCTTGAACTTGGGAGGCAGATGTTGCAGTGAGCCAAGATTGCACCACTACCTTCCAGCCCGGGTGACGGAATGCAACTCTGTCTCAAACTATATATATATTTTTATGGCCAAGGGAATTTTCAACACAGAAATACAACATACGTTTAAGCCATTCATCTCTACATGCCTACAAAGTAGCACGTCCTCTGAAGGCAGGGATCTGACCCAATGCCCTGCACATACAGGTGCTCCGACTGGCTGCTGTTAATGAACAGCCTATCTGGCGCTTGAAGTTGCTAAATTGTGAAAGAGGAGACCAAGTCTGTCTTCTGTTCCTATCTCTCCTGTTCAGCATTTTCTCACTTCTATTCAGTTCCGTTGTCTTTCCCTCTCAATCCCCAAGTAGGCAGCTCGGGTTAAATTCCTACCTCCCTGAGAGTCCCTAAAGCTGTGCCCCTCGGGCAGCACCCGCACCATGCATTTAACACTTCCTTGCCTGCCCTGTCACAGCCTGCACCATAATGTCCTACATCATTGGAAAGGATGAAGAGGGAACAGCTAGGCAAGGGTTATAGTAGGATAATAACTAAAAAGGAAGCCTCTTTGCTAGCTTTCAGGAATGATGCCAGCAATTTTAAAGCAGTGTAAGAAGTTTCATTTTGGTATGAGGGAGAAGGAATTGTCTTGATTTGGGGAGAAGAGATCTTCTTTCAGCTTCTCCCCTCTGAAACCACAGCGGACCTAGAAAAGTTGGTGATGTGTGGTTTGGTAAACAAGTTCAGCTTTGACATGAAGATTGACCTGATTTGACATTGACTGATGGATTTGACATACAGATGACCTGAGATTGGCGATCCTGTCAGTCTTAAAAACAAACAAACAACTCATACTACTATATCCATTGAGAAAAAGAAAAACAAACAAACAAACAAACAAACAAACAAAACCCCCTAAGTTTTGGACCTGACCTAGTTGTTCACCGCATGTGTGATCCCAGGCCAGTTTCCTGTCTAAAATAAGGGTCATCGTAATGTTTCCCTTTCCTATTGCACAAAGATGTGATGATAAAGTAAGCTGTTCTACCTATGTGTGCGTTGGGGAGCGAGGGGGGAGGGATCATGTCTGTTTTGCTTCCTTTGTTTCTATATTGTTTAGAAGATGCTCATTAATACTTGACTTAATGAGCTGTCAGGTGGGATAACCCTTACCTATTCCTCCTTTTGAGGGCAGATAGGGACCGTGATGATTGGAGATGCATGAAGTGTGACTAACATCTCTGTGTAATCAGGACTTGCAACACCCTGATTGCTCCTATCTGGTTCTTCCTAAGAAAAACCAAAGCAAAACAAAAGAACAACTTGACTTAATAAACGGCGGTGGAGTTGGGTCGACTCTCAAATCATTGATGCCCAAGCTTTAGCGTGCATCAGGACCACTCCAGGGTCTTGTTCAGACTCGACTGCCGGCACCCACCCAGGGAGGTTTGGGTTCAATAAGCCTGGGGTGGAGCCCAAGAACCTGCATCTAACGACTTCCCCATGTGCTGTGACGCTGCGGGCGGGGACCAGGCCCCCAGGGGCAGGCGGCAGCTCGGGAAGCCGGTGAGCGGTGGCCTCCATCCCAGCCAAGCGTGCACTCCATCCTCCGGAAAAAACAGTCTTTGAGCTTCCTTTTCAGTGACCCCGTTTTGGGGATCGAACCCTTTTGAGTAAGAAAACCTCTCGTAAAGTTTAATGGAACGATCACATCACACGTGGTTGACGAAGCCCTTCCCTACTTGCCTTGCGTGACCCACTGTCGCGGCCTGGGCTAGAGGCTTGGTGGAGGGGACAGGCCCGCTGCTCGGGCTGCTGACCTCGGGCTCCTCCCCTGAGCTGGGCGGAGAGCGCTGTCCGCTTTGTGAGGAGGCTGCCGGGCGACAACGTGGGGAAAAGTGCCTTACGCAGCATAAGGGCTCAATCCACATGAAGGAAGTAGGCAGGAAAAAGTGTCAGTTGAATAGCCAGTGACAGTTCCTTAGGAGAGAAATGAATTTGGGTTTAGCTGTCCAGTAGAACTCTGCTGTCTACACTGTTCAGCACAGCCATAGGTGGCCACTGAGGACGTAAAACACGGCGAGGGTGATGAGAGAATTGAATTTTAAATTGTATTTAATTTTCATTAAATTTAAAGTACTGGATGGCACAGGTTTAGCAAAACATCTTGCTGAATTGTGAAAAGATGTCCCTTAAGACTTAGGGCATGGCTGACAACTGGTAAGAGGTAGTTCAGTCTCTCTGTCTAAAAAGGTGTAGGAATGGCATTCCGTTCCAAGGCCTCTGTGTGCCCGCGGAGTAGCCATCATGAGCAAAGCTCACCCTCCCGAGTTGAAAAAATTTATGGACAAGAAGTTATCATTGAAATTAAATGGTGGCAGACATGTCCAAGGAATATTGCAGGAATTTGATCCCTTTATGAATCTTGTGATAGATGAATGCGTGGAGATGGCGACTAGCGGACAACAGAACAATATTGGAACGGTGGTAATACGAGGAAATAGTATCATCATGTTAGAAGCCTTGGAACGAGTATAAATAATGGCTGTTGAGTGGAGAAACCCATGTCCTCTCTCCATAGAGCCTGTTTTACTATGATGTAAAAATTAGGTCATGTACATTTTCATATTAGACTTTTTGCTAAATAAACTTTTGTAATAGTCAGAAAAAAAAAAAGGTGTAGGAATTTTAGTGGGTGGGGCAATCTGACTAGCAAGGAAAGGAAGAGAGGTTGGGGGCAAACGGCCAGAGGTTTTGCAAGGTGTTAGTGACTCAGCCAATGAGAAAGGAAGTCAGGAAAACCTCTCCAGTGGCAGCAATGGTTCAAGGGGAATTTAAAAACTGGAATGCGTAATATTCAGTCTTAAGTTATTTACTGAGCAGTAGAATGGTGTTACTTCTTTCTGTTGCCCGTCCCTTCAGAAATGTCTGCTTAACACAGAGCCTGGAGGTGGCAGCAATTAGGGAGTAAAGAGATGGTAAGATGTGGGGTGTCCAGTGGAGGTGATTCCTTCAGGAAAGGTGAGAGCAAATTCAGGAGGGAATAGGAGAGAGAGGAAGAATTCAGCACAAGTGGGATCTAGGGACTGAGAGATTGCAGTGATATTGTCAGGAGGATGCCTTTTCCGCTGCAGAGGGGATGGAGATTTTTGAACCTCTTTTAATTAAATCTTAAAGATAACAGCAACTCCAGTAAGTGGGAAGACTTGCACATCCAGGCCTCTGCTTCAAAGCATTTCTTCAGATTCATGCTTCCTGACTTAAATAACCTCACAGAGCAGGTGTCTCTTGAAGGGCCTGACTGCCGACTGCAGGTGTGAGTGGGAAAAGAGACCAGGAGGGCTTCAGCAATGCTACAACAGGCAGGCAGCAAGCAGCAGCACCGGCGTCTTGCTAAATTTATAAAGCGTAACATCACTTTTTCTGGACTTTTGTCTCTCTCTATGTTATCTAGCAATAATGAGTCACTGTCCACCTGCTCCCAATTTCTGTAGTTGTGTGTGTGCGCATGTGTATGAGAGAGAGAATAGATGCAAAATGAGGTGCAGCTTCGGTGCTGGGCATACTTCCTGTGCTGAAACACAGCGCCTCCTAGTCATTATCTCTGCTGCAGTCTTAGAAAATACCTCCTGAGTGTAATAATGTGGCATCAACCACCTCTTGCAAGTGATTTCATGACAAAACTCTCGGGTGCAGCTTTGTCTGCCACCTCTTTCCTGCCTGGAACCTAGAGGTAGATCAAACATCACCTCTTAGTAGCCACCTGTGACTCATAGCCCCAAGAGCTGCCTCTCCAACCAGGAAGGGTTTGGATAGAGAACTGGGAAGGGAGAGAATACAGGCTTTCTAAAGAAGGGACTTGTGTTTTTCCTGGTCCCTCTGTTCTATCCAAGTAAAGCTAGTTCTCCAGCTGCAGCACATGATAATTTATTTGATCCTGTCTTTGCCCACTGGATCTCCCAGCTGCTCCTTACTGTATCCTCTACCTTCCAACCCTGTTCTGTAGTCACCTCCTTGTACAAATGCCACGAGTGGAACCTCCCAGCTTCACTCTTGCAAGCACCCTTGTGTCCATCAGCATGGCTGCTCAGGGCAACTCCCAGTGGAGGTGGGGCAAGTGGGTAATCCCTGCTGGGGTTTGAGAGTATCACATGTTTTTCCACAAAGCTCCCATTAAAATAATTATATTGGCTGGGCACGGTGGCTCACACCTGTAATCCTAGCACTTTGGGAGGCCGAGGTGGGTGGATCACCTGAGGTCAGGAGTTCAAGACCAGCCTGGCCATCACGGTGAAACCCCATCTTTAAAAATAATAATTATAATTATAATAATTATTATATTACCTGGGTGGGGAGAGGAGAATGGCAGCATTCAGCTGGCAGACTGGCAAAGAATATTCCACCAAATTAAGTAGAAGTCACCGGTCTAGGAAGGGAAGCATCAGGGAAGAGAGCATTTTTTTTTTTTTTTTTTTTTCTGAGATGGCACCATCTCGGCTTACTGCAACCTCGGCCTCCTGGGTTCAAGTGCTTAAGAGAGTTATTATTATTATTTTTTTAATGAGGGCAAGATGAGGGTTGGAGGAGAATGATGGAGAGGGATGACAGGGAAATGGAAACCTAAAGGGGCTATGCAAGAAGAATTATAGTTTGCATGGGATAGGGAGGAGAATGAGTCTTGAGATTTTAAAAGGGAGGTTAACATGGATTCACACTGTGGCTCAGCTACCATCTGTGTGACCGCCTTGAAGCCCATCTCAGGTTTATTTTCCTTATGGGTACAGGGTTGTCATGACGATCTCATGAGATTACGTGCATGAAGCTCACACCTTAGAAGGCACATGCATACATCACGTTGGCTTAAGATTGATCCCCCTTCCTGCCACAGGAAGGAAAAGCAACAGTCACAGCAGAGGCCAGGAGGAATCACAGTGTGCATCCGTGCAGTCGTTAGACCTCTCAGAGCACTTTCCTGCAGGTCATCACGATTGTCCAAGTTCTAACAATCTCAAGAGGTAGAGAGTCTCCAGCAGCGCCCCTGCTTGCAGAGAGACAGAGTTAAGATCCCAGTCAGCTTGGTGGTAAACTAGAGCAGAACTTTTGAGTCTTCTGAGCCTTGAATCTGCTCTGGTTTCTCAAAAGCTTTTTGTTAACCCATGCCACACCTTTAAACCTGGCATGTTTAGTGCAGTTAATTAGTTGGGCAAAGAATAACATATGCACTTTTGAGAGACACGAATTGTGTGTGGTTAATTGGGAACTTGTCTGGGTATGTGGTGTCTGTCTGCTGTGCACTGTGAAAAGCAGAGTCTGCTGCCTTTGCAGGAAATTAGCAGCTGACACTGCTAATTTCCTGCTGTGCCAAGCCAGCCACAAGGAACTTTGCCAGGTTCTTAAGGGCTTCTGGGCCCAGCTTTGCTGATGAAGACACAGTAACCTGAAGCGCTTTGATGAGGCTGTGTGTGGATTAATTTGGGTTCAAGACTATGTTGGCGTGAACTGAGCTTTGAGTGACGGGTGTGAAAAGAGTACCAGGCGCTTGCAAGGCAAGGGCAAAAGAGTAAAGGATGTCCCAGCAAGGAAGCAACATCATCACTGACTGCCGCTCTTTTAGTGCAACTAACACACCGTCTATGGAACAATTACTATGTGTCAGGCAACATGCTGGCTGTTTTTCTTACGTGATCCCTTGAATCATCACAGCAACCCTATAAGAACCCATTTATATTACTCCAAATTACAGATGAATAATTAGCAAGGTTGAATAACTCTTCTCAGGTACATAATAGAAAATAAGAAGGCATCATTTGAATCTCAGGCTTTCTATCTTCAGATCATTTGCTTTTTACACCTGCACCACATTGTCTGTCACCAAACCGATCTGATAAATGACCCAGATCACAATATTGATTGGCAAGAAGGGGGAGATATCTTATGGCACGGGCATTTTGTTGGACAGGTTGGCCTGTGTCCATAAAGAAGGCCCGGTCAATTCCATGGCACCAAGACAGCATTGCAAGGGCTCGGGTCTCATTGTGCCCTCTTTTCTAAATCCCTCTAACCAGTTGAACACAGAAAGAACTCACAAGATTGGTTACTATCTAGATTACTTTGTCCAGGGTCCTCAAAGGAGTGTGCTGAGCATTGGGATGGGGTCCTAGTAAGGAGGGCGGTTGCATGCCAGATCACCATATTATTATGAGTCAGCAGTTCCTGAGCATTACCATGCACCAGGCATTCTGCTAAGTGCTGTCATGTCTCACATAATCCTCATCATAACACGATGAAGTGGGAACAGTTATATCCACTTATCTATGCAAAAACTGAGACTTAGTTTGAGTAACCTGCCTGGAGTCTTACGGGAAATGCTGCAGCTGTGATTCAAACCCAAGTTGATTTGAAGCTAAGCCAAGCTTTTCAACCTTGATGCTCTGTTACCACCATTCGAGGCAACCAATAAGTGTGGCTGAATTGATTTGGAGATTAATTATCACCACCACCACCCTTTCCCAAATAATGTAAGTGGCCTTGTGAATGTGTGGGCTCCCAGTCACCAGAATGGCTCACTTAGAGCCTGTCTGAGAGATCACACCTTGTGGGAGGTTGGACAAAACCATTCCTGCAGCCTCACCAGATCTATCAGATCTTTTGATTCAGTCAACTTTTAGGGTAAAAGCAGGGTAGTTTCAGACCATCTGGAGAGAGAGGCATATTGGCAATTCTCAGAAAATCGTTTGTAGCTCTCTGATCTCTAAGAAGCACTTCTTAAGCAAACCTCTAAGCTGTCCCCACCACCTTACGGTCTTTCTTTCTGAGACCAAATTGAAATGAGCTGGGAGCCAGGCCGATGCACTCCTCCCCATGCCCCTCTTCACCATTCATTTCTGAGCACTCTTTGCTTACCTTTCTATGAAGAAGTCTCTCTCTTCCCAGCTGATCTCACCTCAGCTCAATCTTTCCCTCAATACTAAACTGAAAACATGGAAATTCAATCAAAGTGAAGGCTTCCTTTACCCCAACAGGTCCTACAAGCATTTAATAAGTTGTGTGGACACATAAATAGATCATGAAGCAGTTGATAAGAGTAACACTTCTTGTCAAGACAGCCCTTATGCAGGAGGACTAGCCCACACAAAAAAAGAGCACGGGAGAGAACCTCAAGAACATTGACAGTACCTGAAATAAGGTTTGCTTTTGGAGAAAAGGGAACAGAGAAGTTTTGAGATGAGAACGTGCTGGATACCAACAAAAAAACAGTGAGTTCTGAAAGTGGGGAGGGGGATTGCAGAGGTAGAAGTTGTGACAGAGTTCCATCAGGCGAGGGGATGAATGCCTGTAATCCCATCACTTTGGGAGGTGGAGGGGAAGATGCCTAGAGCCCAGAAGTTCAAGACCAGCCTGAGCAACACACAAGACCCAGTCTCTACAATAAAAAAAAATTTAAAATTAGCTGGAATCACTTCCTGACTTCCCAGCTCCTTGAAAGGCAAAGGTAGGAGAATCCCTCGAAACTCAGGAGGTCACTGCAGTGAGCTACGATCAGGTCGCTTCAC